CAGAAGCACTACCAAGAGGTAATAATACAGCCTAATCTACAGGTGCTATAACCCATCCAAAGCTTGTCATTAGCTAGTACAAAGAAGTTTAAGTAATTAATCATTGAACTATGAGTTAGTAGGATCAAGATTGGCCATATCGGTTAACCTGGAAAGAGCACCTTGTATCAGCTGGTGGGGACCTGGTTGAGTTAGTTAACCATATTGTAGTAGATAACTTGAACTGGTTAACCAGTATGGTCTTAAAGGAATATTTAAAAAATCATGTCTTGTGATATTTTATGGTGGTGTGCACTACATTAAAAGTTGAGGGCCAGTAAGATAGATTTTTTTCTTCATGTTTTTAAAATAAATAATGTTTTTAAAAGTCTCTTAGGCTCACTACGGCTGCATTTATTTAAATAGAAATAACGTAAAGTAATGTTACTATTCAAAATAATTGTTTTCTATTGTAATAATTTTTTCCAAAAAAAGAAAAAAATCTTACTGACCCCAAACTTTGAACCGCAGTGTAAGATTGTCGCAATGTTGCATTTCTTGCTGCTCTTTTCTCAGATGAGCACTCTGCAGGCTACGGTGTCCAAGCTGAAGCTGGATCTGGAGCAGGAGCTGGAGAGGTGGAGGTAGGGGATATGAGAGGCAGCCAAGGCCGATCAGAGAGGGAGAGAGCTGAGACGAGCTCAGCACAGCACAGGCCTCTCATAAAGAGTATATGGAGCTGGTACGCTCACTTCCACTAACACACAGACACAATGTGAGCCATGCCAACACACTGGAGACAGATATCACCAGTTAGCTGTGTGTTCTAGCTGGCTGAGTACAGTCGAGAGGTGACGGCCCAGAGGAGTGAGCAGGCCCGTCTGCAGCAGTGCCTGATCCAGCTGACAGAGGAGAGGGAGACTCAGGAGGAGAGAGTCAAACAGATGAGCGCAGATCTACAGAGAGCGCACAGTGAGAGCAGGTGCTCTCAGGAGGAGGTAAGACTAATGCATATGCATATTGAGATTCATTGTTCAGCCTATATCTGTTACCATTTACATTTTTGCATTTGGCAAGAGGATTTTATCCAAAGTAACTTACATTTCATTCAAGATATACTTTTTATTATTAGTTCATGCATTCCCTGGGTAATCGAACCCTTGATCTTGGCGTCGGTTGTCCCATGCTGTACTATTTATGTATTCAGTAACATCAGCTAGAGGAACATCAGCCTCTAGATTAATTGCAGCTTTGTAGATGTATATGTATGGTCTTAATTCAGTGTTTCCCATACTTAGTTTCATTTCATTAAAAGTAAAATGCATTATTATTTCCAGAATTAAAATGGAAACATATTCAAGGATATTTTATTTTTTCATTCAATTAGTAAAAAGGAAATGTACATGTTTTTTTTTTCTTAAAGGGGTCATAGGATGCTACATGCACTTTTACA